CTCTCTCTCTCTCTCTCTGTGTGTCTTTCACTCAGGCGTACCTGAACAGTGACGCTCTGAGTCGCTTCCCAGAGATCGAGCTGTATGAAGCCGTCCAGTCGTGGCTGCGACACGACCGGCGGCGCTGGCGGCACACCGACACCATCGTGCAGTCCATCCGCTTCTGCCTCATGACACCCGCCAACATCTTCGAGAAGGTGAGCGCTGGGTTTCTGACTCTTTTCCCCCCCGACGGGAATCTGCGTTGTTGTTTTTTTTTGTGACGGCGCTTTCTTCCTCTCCACAGGTGAAGACGTCTGAGTTTTACCGTTACTCCCGACAGCTGAGGCAGGAGGTGGATCAGGCGCTCAGCTACTTCCATGATGTCAACCAGCAGCCTCTGGTGGAGACGCGCTCCAACCGCATCCGCTCCGTCCGCCCGCAGACCGCCGTCTTCAGGGGGATGATCGGCCACAGTATGGTCAACAGCAAGATCCTCCTGCTGCAGCGCCCAAAGGTGTCCCGCCGTTTGTCCCACCGGCTGGCTTGCGATCCGTTGGCATGAAGTGAGTTCTAGTAAGCTGAGCTTTTTGGTCCCTCAGGTATGGTGGGAGCTGGAGGGACCTCAGGTGCCGCTGCGACCGGACTGCCTGGCGATCGTCAACAACTTTGCCTTCCTGCTGGGTGGCGAGGAGCTGGGGCCCGACGGGGAGTTTCACGCCTCCTCCAAAGTCTACCGCTACGACCCTCGACAGAACTCGTGGCTCCGCATGGCCGACATGTCGGTGCCCAGGTGAGAGGAGCCCACGAGCTCTGGCTGTCTGTCACATTGTGTTCATTTCAAGGTGACTCCATGCTTCATTATGATTAGTGGTGAAACAGATCCCCCCCCCCCATGGATTAATGACAGTTTAACCATCACAGTGTGAAATAAAGTTTTACTAACAATCGTGTGAAATATGGAATTGTTAAATTCATCGATGCATATTCACGGTGTGTTTGTCATCCGCAGGTCAGAATTTGCCGTCGGCGTCATCGGCAAGTTCATCTATGCCGTGGCGGGTCGCACGCGGGACGAGACCTTCTACTCCACGGAGCGCTACGACATCACGGAGGACCGCTGGGAGTTCGTGGACCCGTACCCGGTAAACAAGTACGGTCACGAGGGAACCGTCCTCAGCGGCAAACTGTACATCACCGGCGGCATCACCTCCTCCTCCACCTCCAAACAGGTGTGCGTGTTCGACCCGGGGCGGGAGGCTGGAGGAGGAGGAGGAGGAGGAGGAGGTGGTGGTGGTGGTGGTGGTGGTGGTGGTGGTGGTGGTGGTGGAGGAGGCGGCGGCGGCGGCGGCGGGAGCAGCTCAAACGGGTCCGACGCACACAGGACACGCGCCGGCCGCGGCCCGCCGCTGCCCGCCGCCCATGCCAGCTGCTGGGAGAACAAATCCAAAATGAACTACGCCCGTTGCTTCCACAAGATGATCTCACACAACGGGAAGCTGTACGTGTTCGGAGGCGTGTGCGTGATCCTGCGGGCGTCCTTCGAGTCGCAGGGCTGCCCGTCCACCGAGGTGTACGACCCGGACACGGACGAGTGGACCATCCTCGCCTCCATGCCCATCGGGCGCAGCGGCCACGGGGTGGCGGTGCTGGACAGGCAGATCATGGTGCTGGGCGGCCTGTGTTACAACGGCCACTACAGTGACTCCATCCTCACCTTCGACCCCGACGACAACAAGTGGAAGGAGGACGAGTATCCCAGGATGCCTTGCAAACTGGACGGTCTGCAGGTGTGCAGCCTGCACTTCCCAGAGTACGTGCTGGAGCACGTCAGACGCTGTAGCTGAGGTCTGCTCCGCAGGGAGCCTCCTTTTTCTTTTTTTATAGAAATGAGAAATGTGCCGTTCAAAGGACTGAAGTCTCTCCCTCTGGGGGGGGGGGGGGGTCGGGTGTCTCACAGGTGAGGAGATGCGTTTTTGAAGAGTAGAGACCTGTGCTCACCTCCAGGTGAGAGGGAACATGGCCCCCGTGTGCCGTTACTATCTGCTGTTCTCAATGAAGCCAATCAGAGCGCGACGCGGTGAAGACGCTAACGTACGTTAGCTTGAACATTTTCAGAATTAGCTTTCTCAGAAAATTTTAAGGAAAAAAAAAAAAAGTTTTGTGAAGAGAAAGAGAAAAACCAAGTTAAATTCTGCTGGTTTGTTTGGACTGTGGTCAGTTTCCTCTTCTACTACTCACCTTCTGTATTTAGGCTGTCCAGTCAAGCTTATCGCAGAAACGCACTGGAAGCAACGCAGCCGTTTCCAAAGGGAGCTTTTTATTTATATTTCTTATTCCAGCGGTCAAACTATCTATTTAAAGGCAAACAGACATCCTGTACATCGTTAATCGAGTAGAATATAACACAGCAAGTATACAACCAGGTATATAAACACGTCTTTAACACTGTACACTGTAGTGTAGCTACTTCTATGTTCTTAAAGCGGTCTGTGGAGATCAAACGGATGCTTTGACCACGTTGGTACAGACGCTGCTTCAAAAAGTCTCACATTTGCTTCCAGTGCGTTCCAGCTTCTCGTCCTAACTCTGCTCTTTACTCCCAGATATCCACCATACTGTGCTCCTATTCATACAACATCACTGTGTGTGTGTGTGTGTGTGTGTGTGTGTGTGTGTGTGTGTGTGTGTGTGTGTGTGTGTGTGTGAGAGAGAGAGAGAGAGAGAGAGCTGAATGCAAAACATACCGCGCGGTACATGAGGGCATTCCTTCATTCATGCAGCGACGATGGCGACGTTGTGGTGGTGACAGGTGCTATTATTTTGGAGATTACGTGCACAGGAAGGAAAGAGCGGCTCTGAATCCGTCTGGTCACTGGCGGTGCTTCACCTCCACCTACATTCCCTGCACTTTATTGTTATTAGTATTATTTATATGGGTTCCTATTGAGGCTGTAAATGCACATTTTACCAGCACTTGAGAGCAGCTGCAGTATTAAGAAGGTGCTGTGATGTCGCACACATTCAGTCTGACATGAACCGTCTGCGTTGAAACGTGCAGCTAGTGAAGATGTTCTAAACGCTGGGCCTCCTGCAGGAACCTTCTTTATTCTCCTCCGAGTCTGATTCACTGAACTCTCTCAGAAACATTCACCAAAGATTTAAAAGAGCTCGTTCCCTCTGCTGAGCTTCAAGTCAA